AGGCAAAGACTGTTAGAATGAATTTAATATGTAAGAATTGAACTTCTGTTTGTTAAAGGAGAAACACTTTAAAGAGGAAAATGTGTTGAAAATAAAAAATATAAAATATATTCTCTGCAAATACTAAAGAAAAAAGAATTTCCATGGCTGTAATAATAATATCTAAGGTAGAGTTTAACTATTTACTTTTGTTTGCACTGCTGGGATGTCAGGTCCTCACAGATACTAGGCAAACACCCTAGCACTGAGCTAAATCTCCAGCTCCTAAAGTAGAACTTAAGACAGACAGTATTACCAAAGATAGTGATATTTTTTAATCTTAAAGGGTTAGTTCATAAAGAAAACTTAGGAATCATAAGTGTGTATAAGTCACAGAACACATCTTCCAAATTAAAGGAAAAGTGGACAAATCTATAATAACAGGTGGAGAGTTTAATACTCTTCTTTCAGTAAGATAGATAAGTATTAGTAGAGACAGAAATCTGCAACCCTATCCATCTTCTTGAACTAACTGATGTTTATGGAACATTATATCTAATACTTACATGTTTCATCATGATAGACCTTACTGTTGGTCATTAAAAATTCTTATACATTAAAAAAGTGTCTCATAGAGCATTCTTCCGACAATGGAATTAGAAATCAATGAAAGTAATTAGGAAATAAAACAGAAATATTTGGGAATTAGACAACATGCTTCTAAATAAGCACTTTTTAAAAAAATCACAAGAAAAGTTATAAAATATTTCTGTACCAAATAATAACAAAAATGAAGCATAAGAAACTTTGCAACTGACATGGTTCTTTTAGAGAAATTTATAATTTGAAGTGTTTTTAGTAGAAAAAAAGAGAAAGAAGGACTGGAAACAAGATCCAGCTTTTGCAAAGGTGGTGTGTCTGACAAGAGGCAGCTCTGCTCTCCTGTCATATTCCCTGAAAACAGCAAGATGTTTACTTGGCTGAGCAAGGGCGATAGAATTTGGGCCCTAAAACCTGGTAAGGAGATATTTGTCAGCCAAAATGAAGAGTCCTCTTTTTCCCTTAAGTGTAGCTTTCAAGTCTTTAAAACTCCAAGAAAACAGAAGTTCTATCTTTAGTGAGTAAAAAATGATTTGCCCACACAATAATTTCTCCTCTATCCCTACAGAGGTTTGTGTCTTTGACAAAAGCAAGCACAAACCATCTCTGGAAGAAGTCTTTTCACTTTTGGTTTTAATAACAAAAGCAATTTTACCAGAACCATGAAGAACAATGACAAAATAATCAAATACAGAATGTGTTGGAGGAAGAGAAGCAAGAGTAGATGAAGAGAAACCATGTATGAGGGTCTGAAAACAAGGCTACAAGTGATAGTGTTTAGTATTATATGGGTCATTATATTTAAAGTGGATTTCTTCTAGGCAGTACATAGTGGGGTCTTTTTTTTGATTCTCCTTTTTGAATTCAGTCTGACAACCCATGGCTTTTCAATTAGGGTGTTTAGGTTATTTATATTAAGTATGATTATTGACATCTTACAATTGCTTTTCTAGTTGCCCATGTGTTTATTGTTTTCTTTCTCAGCCCCCCATATATTAAAAATTTTGAGTACTTTTTAAAAAAAGTTTTTATTTGCAGTTCTGGGGATTGAATTCATGGCATTTGCACTGAGCTGTGCTGCTAGTATAATTTTTACAGGGATTACAGGCTTGTACTACCATGCCCATTTTGAATACTTTCTATGATACTAACTTGTTTGCTTTTTTTTTTTTTTTAAGGCATTTTAGCCAGAATTTTTTTTAATTTTAGGCATTACTTTAGAATTTATAGTATACAACATTAATTTATCATGTTTCACTTACAAAAACTCTAAAATAGCAACTTTCCCTTCCCCTTTCTCTTCCTCATTGCATTGCATCTCTCCCTTTTCTTTTCTCTTTATGCTTGTGCTGTCATACATCATACTTTCAAAAAGTCAGCACTACATTAACTATTTTTAATAAAACAATCAGACACTTTGAAATTTAAGTAACATTTTAAAAAGCATCATTTTTTTACCCTATAGTCACAATTTCTAACATTCTTTTTGGTGTGGGCAGAAGTAGCAGCCTGATTCTGGGTTTTGACAATTTTAACTTTTGTGTTAAATTTCTCCATTTCAGTTTCTCTTTTGCAGTACCATTCTCATTCAGGAATTCCACTTAATATTTCTTATAGTTCCGATCTACTGATCAGATTTGTATTGCTTTACGTCAGAGAAAGAAAAATATTTTATGATATTTCAGGTAAGTGCTGAGCCAATTGATGAAGAGACAATTTTGCCTACTATTCAATTGCACAGTTTACTTTTAAAATGATACAGAAAATGTACATTTGCAGGACAAAATCCATCCTAAAACTTGCACATATAATGACATGTATTCTGTCAGCTTAAGTATCTTTTCTTTTTTTGGCGGGGTGGGGAGGGGACTGAGAATTGAACTCAGGACCTTGAGCTTGCCAGGCAGGAGCTGTGGCACTGACTACATTCCAGCCCATCTTTTGTATCTTCATTTTACCTCCAAGGTGAAAAATATTTTTTTCTTGTATAGGGCTGTTGTTCTTTCTTTGCTATGAAGATTTTGCTGTCATTTTTATAAGAAATCTCTGTGCTTTTCTACAAAGCATTGGTTATTCTCTGCTGTTTTGAAGAATTTTCTCTCTATCTTGCTTGCTTTGGGTTTAATTTCCTCCTCTGTTTCTAGTTTATTTGGTAGAAGTTTTGTTGTTGACTTGAGATCTTTAATCTTCACTGTTGTAGGCATTTACAAGTATAAATTTCTTTCTTTTTTTGGAAGCTTTCATTGTTTCCCAAAGTTTTCTATGTTAGACTCCTATTTTTATTCATCTCAAAGTATTTTCTAATTTTATTTGTGTTTTTTTTCTTTATTATTAGGAATTATGAGGAATATTATTAGGAATATGTTGTTTTACTAGCACATTCTTGTGAATTTTCCAGTTTTCCTTCTGTTATTGATTTCTGTCTTTATTCAGCTGAGGTCAGAAGACATAGGTTGAATGATTTTAATCCTTTAAAATCTATTGAGACTTGTTTCATGGCCTAATAAATGGTCTACACTGGAAACCATTCTGTGTACACTTTATGAAAGGTTGTGGTTTGCTCTTTTTGGATAGCTACCTTAGTTTTAGGCTTTATAGAGCACAGGTATTAGTAAGTCTCTTATTTGATTGTTAACCTGTCTAGTTGTTTGACAAGTTACTGAAGAGGAGGTATTGAAGTCTGCAACTATGATTGCTCAAATTTAAATTTCTTGTTTCTCTTTGTCAGTTTTTGAGAAGGGTTGGGAGTGAGAGAAGGCACAGGTGTGAGCAGATGGTCAGGGAGGGCTGGTTTGGAAGGACACCTGAAGGAGTCCAGGGAAGAAGCTCAAGGGCTGCCTGGGGCCAACTCTTCCCAGAGAGACACTCAGTCTAGGGCCCTTTGAGGAGACACTAGTGACCATCTCCCTACTCAGGTCTCTGTCCCTTGCACCTCAGGTTCACAGGATCAGCCCAGGCTTATTCACTGGAGTTGATACCTTCCTCCACCAGACACATCCTGCATCAACCTAGATCTCACTTGGGGAACACAGACCAGAGGCTCCTCAGCCCCTTCTCTCCTTCTAAGGCCTGCAGCTCCCTGCATGAACAAGCTCACCCTTCATACAACAGGAAGCGGGTGCAAAGTGCTCTCTTAATATAGGCTAAGTCTTCCTATTTTCCTACTGCTATCAGTAGCTACATGACTACCACACTTTCTTTTCTTTCTTTCTTTCTTTCTTTCTTTCTTTCTTTCTTTCTTGCTTTCTTGCTTTCTTGCTTTCTTGCTTTCTTGCTTTCTTGCTTTCTTGCTTTCTTGCTTTCTTGCTTTCGTTCTTGCTTTCTTTCTTGCTTTCTACTTCTTTCTCTTTTCCTTTCCTTTCTTTGTCTTGCCTTGCCCATCCCTCCCTTCCTTCTTTCTTTTCTGACATTAACAATCTTCCTTTTTATGCTGTTCTGATAGGGCAAATTTGGGATGAACTGAACCTGAGTCCACAGTCTTCTCTAGAACAATGAAAGTGAAGAGTGTCAGCAAGGAGTCATTGTGAGGTCCAGGATAGAGGAGCTCATTCCTTCTCTGGTGTCTGTGTGCTGATTTCTTAGAAGCCAGTCTCTCCTGTGTTGTGTGGAGTCTGCTCCCATAGGATCTGCCAGGACACAGTGAATTACTATGTGGAAAATGGCAGAAGGCTCTGTGAGCACCCAGGCTGGCAGACTAGCCTGTTTAAGGTGGGAAGAGAGGACCGTGTTTCACACTCTTGCCTGTAACCCAAGCTGTTGGACCAGAGGGACTGTGGCCCCTGAAGTCCATCTTGCTTCTCTATCTACTGCCCAGAACTGACTGTGAACAGCTATCAGAATCAATACTCAGTGAGCCAGGATACAGGCCCAAAGTGAGTCCTCGCTGGCTCCCATAATCCAAGATATTTTTCCTTTTTTTTGTGTCCTCAGCCCCCTTAGTAGTTCCCTAGAACCGTTGCATATATTTATTTCTTAAGTAAGCATTTCGCTTGTACTTAAAACGAATGCCTCCTATACTGCAGGCTATGAATGTGGCAAGGTCTTATTCCAAGATGGTTATGTACTTTGTCCTATTTAATAGTAATTCTCCCTTGGGTTGTGAAAAAAAATCTGTGATCTGATTTTGAGATGAGGAAAAATCTCACTTCACAGCTGTGAGCTGGCCCTCTGCAGCCTCGTACCCCTCCACAGCCTGTGCTGGGGTCACAGGGAGTTTCCTGAGTTCTTACTTTGTTCCTTTCAAAAAGGCTGTTTTCCTTGTGTTCTCCTTCCCTTTCAGGACAAGCTGAGGGCAAAAGACCTGAGAAACTTCTTTAGCCCTGAGTCTGTGCTCTCCTGTCTCAGCAGTTTCATTTCTTGGGTCTGAGGTCACTGAGTGTCTCAGCTCCAGGAAGTGGCAGCCTTGGCAGGATTGGTAGCCAGTGGGGGTTGACTTCCTGATTGGCCCTGAACAGGGTCCTCGGGGCAAAGGATGGAGCAGGGGTGGGTGTCTGAGACTGTGGTGGGGGTACAGAGAGTGTCAGCTGACCGCAGGGCTCTGCCCTGTTCCTCAGGAAACGCCTGACATCTGCTCACAGCTCTCACCCTTTGTCAGTTGTGGCTTTCACCAGAAAACACACGACATCTCAGAAGATCCACAATTTAAGGTAAGTGACATGTAGGATGGAGATGTGGGGTCTTGAAGGAGGGGAGGCTCTGGTCCCCAGAAGCCCCACCGCCTAGTACTGAGGGGGCTAGTGTACTCCTGGGTGAAGTGGCTGCCAAAGAGTAGAAGCCACAGAAGAAATACCTTGTGGCCTTAAGAGGCTATTCCTGATTGTAAGAGAAAAAGGCCCTATTTAGTAACTAGTTCAAACCTATTGTTTCACTCCAGCACAGCCATTGCAAAGCAAAAGTTACCTTCCAAACTCTGTGTCCTTTTTCTCCATCCCAAACTCCCCTGGAGCCTGGTGGGGTAGGGGTGAAGGTGAAGTCCAATTTGACTGTCTTGGTAGAAGCCTCCATAGACTGCCCCACTGTCTGAGGGTTCCCGCCAAGTATAAAGAGAGTTACCTCCAGGTACTAAAGTGATGGCCCTGATTAGAGTGGAAAGGAGTTTCTCAGCCCCTCACTGAGCTGTGGCTCTTGCTGCAACTTCTGTGAGGAAGTCCACCACAATTCTTCATGTCTGTCAGCACTGACTCCAGAGAACTTCCTATCACGATGGGATGTTCTATGTCCTGGTTGTCTTTGTTTGTTTGTTTGGAGATACTTGGGGTCAAACCCAGGGCTTTGTGCATGTTGTGCAAGGACTCTGCCTCTAAGCTACATTCCAGTCCTTCCTGTATTATATTTTATTGTAAGGCAGAGTTTTAGTAATTTACCCAACATGTCCTTGAACTTGCAATCCTCCTGCATCAACCACCCCTGTAGTGGGAGTACAAGATGTGAGCCACCAGTTCTGGCGTGGGTACCATGTATGCATCAGCCACGTGTGATCATTAGGCAACTGAAATGTGGCTGGAAAGACTGAGAGAATGGATTTTAAATTTATTTAATATTCATTAAATTACATTTAGATGGCCAGCCATGGTAGTAGCAATATTATCAAACAATACAGCTACATATCTGTGTATGTTCTACATTCCAACTTGTTTCTTTGCTCTAGGTTGAAGATTTCAAGACCTGTGGAAGCCAGTCACAGGCAAAGGCGAGGTGCATTTCTAGTACTGTGCATACCTGGGCAGTTTCATTTTTATAGCTGGAGTTTCTTGAGAAAAGCTATGACCTCCACAACAATCACTCAAAAGATAAAAGGGATCGCCACCTGCTTCATGTGCAGGGCAGTGATGAAGCACCCGGTGAGCATCAGCTGTGGACATAGCTACTGTAGCTGCTGTCTCAGGGACTTCTGTAATAGAAGAGTAGGTTACTCACGACCAAGTACATATAACTGCCCTCTCTGTCTTGAGCCAATTAATTTAAACACCGTTCGTGACAACAAGCAACTGGAAAGGCTTGTTGAGCTCATCAAGGAGATAGAGGAGACGGAGGATGAGCTGCTGTGTGAGGCCCATGAAGAGCAGCTCCAGCTCTTCTGCGAAGATGACGGCCAGCTCATCTGCTGGCGCTGTGAGCGGGCACTGCAGCATCAAGGGCACACCACTCAGCTAGTAGAGGACGTGTACCAGGGCTACAAGGTGAGTGTGCAGCCAGGCCTAGGCATTTGCAAGGGACAGGACCTGAGTGTCAGCTCTAAGTCTCAACCCTAGACCACAGTGTCACCTGTCATAGGTGCATTTTCACTTGGGAAGTAAAGGATCAAGACCACTGGGAAAAGTCACTGCTGGCACTCCTAAAACACAAAGAATATCAAAGTTAGAATTCAAATTGTCCCTTCAAGAAAGGTAGTAAGATGACAGTTTCGAACAAAATTCCTGAAGAACAGTTAAAAAATGGCCCCTTGTGGTGATGAAGGAAGGAACTGACTTAGTCCTGCTGCCTTGGGCCTTGGCCCTACTGGAGCTGAGGAGCTTGTGCTCATTGCAGCTCCTGGTTCTCTCCTCCAGGGTGCAGACTTGGGTTCCATGAGGTCTCTGAGTTTCCTAAGGTCACCTGAGTCCTGATGCTTGCTCAGCACACGTGGTGCTTCCTTAGACTCCATGGAGTGCTAATGTCTGTTTTGTTTTTGTTTTTCTTCCGGTACCAGGAATCAAACTCACGACCTTGCACTTGCCAGGCAGGCGCTGTGCCGCTGAGCTAAATTCCCAGCCCTGCTGCTAATGTCTGTAATAGGGATGGTCCTGTTTGAGTTACTCAGGGCAATATGCTTTGCTAAGGTACCTAGGTAGAGCCCTTTCCTGCGAGTGCTGTTCCAGTGCTGTTCAATTGCACTTCCTGGATTTATGGAGAATAGTAGGCAATTCTTTTACTTTTTTGCGTAGCTTTTATTAGTACATGTTGGCAGTACATAATGATTATATTCTTTAACTTTTGACTGTGAAGAACAATTGGTGTTTGCTTCAAATTGTTTCAAAGAAGACCTGAGAAACTGTTTTGAAAAATAATAAAAAAGTTTGACACAGGTATTAAGTCTTTCTAAATTGGTCCAGGGGAGGTGCTATACCTGACTTGCTGTTGAGTAGGAACCCAGCTGGGGAAGGTGGGTCACTGGGGGTGTGACCTGGAAAGGTTTATCTCCCAGGCTGGTTCTCTCTGTTTCCTGGCTTCCATGATGTGAGCCGCTCTTCTTGCTCAGTGCATCTAACGCACTGCCTCTGCCTGGAGCCTGCAAACTATAGACTGAAAATTTGAGCCAAACTAAATTTCTCTTCCTTTAAGTTATGGGTAGTGGGTACTATGTCCCAGCAATGAGAAAATGACTAAGATATATGCCAAACACTCTGGAATTGGGTATATTTGTACAGCACACTAATTTATAAGATCTTTCAAAGATAATTATCATATCTATATGTAGCATTTTCCTGGCCACACCATGGTAGTGAACATTGCTTTGTCCCCAGTCAGAACTGGAGATTGGAACTCTAATCCCACTGCCTACCAGTAATTATCCTATGGGTGTATTAGTCAGTCTCTTTTGAGACACTTTTTTTCCCCCACAATTTAGAAAGGATATTAAAAACTCTACCAACTTTTCAAGGTGGGTGAGGGGATCTGTGTGTCATAGCACATACTGCACTCAGCCTTCTCCCTGGCAAATGCAAAGACTCAAGAAATATTTACTGTTATTTTAGCACATCCTGGATGTTGGGATTTTCATTAGGTGTCTAATTAAGAATCAAATTGAATAGACTTTGCTCACCCAACTTTTCCTTTAGGAAAAGCTAGAGCAAGCTGCCAGAAATTTGAATCAACTTCAAGAGGAATGTACAGATCAGATAGTGTGGGTAACAACACAAATAAATGAATGGAAGGTAAGAATCTGATTCACTGAATTTGACTCTTTTCCAGTCTAGTGTTTAGGGACACAAGATGATTGAGATAAAATACTAGAATTGTTTATTCTCTCTACACCAGACCAGATAATTGACCTTCATTAAACACCAAATCCCATTTTCCCTTCCTCCCACCATCTGGTCACTGCTATGCTGCTCTCTGTCTCCAAAAATGTAACTGTTGTAGGTACCTAGTTTAAGTGAGGCAAACCCTTGTATCTGCTGCATTCTGGCTTATTTCCCTTAGGAGAGTGTGTTTGAGGTTTAGCCTTGTGGCAAAGTTCAAACTCTCATTGTTATTAAGGTTTGGTACTACTCTCTACCTATATACTGCATTTTATTTATCTGTCATCTATATATGGACACCTGGTTTGGTGACACTTTTGACAGTACTTTTTAAACTCCAGCAGGAGATAGAGATTCGGAAACAAAAAATCAAGTCTGACTTCAAGAGTCTGCGAACTTTTCTACGTGAGGAAGAGAAGTTGTATCTCTGGAGACTGGAGAAAGAAGAAGAGCAGATGCTGAGAAGACTGAGGGAGAGCCAGGCCAACCTGCAGCAGAAGAGCAGGGAGCTCAAGGACCAAATCCAGGAACTGGAGGAAAAATGTCAGAGCTCAGCCCAGAACCTGCTGCAGGTGAGGCTGTAGAGCTGGGAAAGGAAAGGAGGATTCTGATCCTGAGCTGTTAAGAGGAGAATGGTCAGGAAGCATGGGAAGTGCCCAAAGTCTGCTCCTGCTCCAACGGAAGCGGTAGTGTGGGAGCTTAGGCTTTGTGCACTGCCCTGCAAACCTAGCTAGTTGGGAAGTTCAAGTAGGAGGATTACAAATGCAAGAACATCCTGTATGACTTACTGAGATACTGTCTGAAATTAAAATTTACTATAAAGAACTGGGGATTCAGTGGTATAGAGTTTGCCGAGTCTGAGCAAGGTCTTGGATTCAATCTCCAGCACAAGAAAAAAAACTGGTACCCTTTGGGTGAATGTAAAGTGGCCAAATGGACATAAAGGTTAGCTTTAGCCATTTTCCCCTTGGCTATGTGCAGAGATCCATGTCTGTTTCTTTCCTAAAATACTTTTCCAGGTGACAGACAGAGACAGAGGAGCAGCCCAAACAAGGGCCTTTCCCTGATTTGCTACAGGTACAGCCCTTGCTGTGGAGCAACTATGGGCCTTCTCATAGTCTCACAAGGACAAATAACTGGAGCTCTTCATTTGGGGCCTTGCTAGTGGGATTAATGGCTTTACTTTAGTTGTGAAGGTGCCTAGTGGCTGCTACTATCTCAATGGCCCAATCTCAGAAGCTAGGTGTGCAGTTACCACGCGCAACCTTGGTGACAGTGACCTCTCCATGGGTTCACTCTGCAGGACTTCAGGTCCCTGAGAGCCAGGCTTCCCAGAGGGAGGCTGAGAAAAGCTCCGGCCTGTGTCTCCAGCAGCCACAGGCCAATGCCACTGTAGCCATTGCTCTTCCTTACAGGCTTCCCCAGGGAAATCACAGCCCCTGCTGAGTGGGCAGAGGCCGAGTGGGGTCATTGCTCCTGACTCTGCAGCAGTGTCTCAGGCTGGGTCCCTCTTTCCTTCTTGGGGAGCTGTGTTTACAGACAGTGTCCCCTGTGCCACAGCCCATGGAATCCTGATGCTAACACATTCACCTTTTCTTTCCTACAGGATGTGAAAGGCACCTTGAGCAGGTGAGTCCCATGTGATCGCGGGAAGGGAGGGCCCGGGAGGTCCTCAGGCATGGAGAGGACCACTGAGGAGTCTCTGCCTCTGCTTCTTCCAGGACTTGTGCTGTGAAGCTGGAAGCTCCTGAGGTCTTTTCCCTGGAGGTTCAGACTGCGTGTAATGTTGCTGAGCTTTACTTAGATGTGAAGGCGATGTTAAGACGCCATCAAGGTATGAGAGCTCAGAGCTCAGAGCTCCCTCAGAGCTGTGATGGGAGGGTCCTTAAACAATTACTACCGTCCTGAGGATCCTTGAGCAGAGGTGGTTATTTTCAGCAGAGCTGCCTCACTCACCTTGTTCTCTGTGCTCCATATTGAGTCTGTACTGCATCCTGTCATCTGTAGGAATCTTCCAGTTCCTGATCTCCTGTGTGGTGGCCCTGTCACCCCAGTCCTATCATTTGGTGTCCCTGTCTGAGGAATGTGTGTGTTCACAGTTCCTACTACACAAAGTTGTCCTATTAACACGGTCTCTGACACAGAATGAGTGCCCCAGCACGGAGTTAGATCTGACAGTTGTGTTTCTTGTGACTATTTCAAATTCTGAGAGCAGTTCAGAAAGATAGGTGAGCACAATGGACTATGGTTTACAAATTTTTAAGGAATTGCCTCGTACAGCACAGGAAAATGTCAGACCCATGAGGGAAACAAATTCTAGTGTCTTCTTGCCACTCTTGCTCCATTTATCAGTGATTGGTAGATTTCTACATTTTTCTCCATAATTGCAAAATGTAAAACCTGTGAAAATAAAAAGTTTTATAGTGATCATCAGCTTACATAACTATACCTTACCCAAAGTTACTTGGTAGCTATTTTAGTTATCTATTGTTACCAACAAATTAGCAAAGTTTAGTGACTTAAAACAATACAGTTACAGATTTTGTGGGTCAGGAGTCTGAGCACAGTGTGAGGGCCTCTGCTTAGGGTCTTAGGAGGCTGCAGTGAAGGTGTGGACAGGCTGTGTTCTCTCCTGGACACTCATGTAGGGAAGGTACCACCCGTGCTCTCTTAGACTGCTGGCAGGATTTATTCTCCTTGGGTCATAGGATGTAGGGCTCTGACTTCTTTTTGCCTGATGGCTGGAGGCTGCTTCAGCTCCACAGGGCTCCCTTTGGATCCTTTCACATGGTTGCCCACCTGGCCAAGTATTTCTTCAGGGTGAGCTCAGGAGAAGGTTGTGATAGCTCATACACTGACATTATGAAGGTGGGTGATGAAAATTTACCTGCCATCATAGTCTGAGATTGCTGTGAGTATAATTGTGATGGTGAAGACAGTTGTTGGGTGGATAGGGAGAGTCTTCTTCCACCTCACACCTGCTTGTGTAAAAAGTGAGTTCGTTTGTTTTATCAGACTTTCATAAACACATTCCTTTCCCGTACCTCTTGCCAATGTTGTGCCAACTGAACACATTGCATATTTGTTCCACACATTGACTCTAACTGATGATGAAACATCCTGCCAGTTTTTTATATAGAAAAAGACAGAATAATAATAATAATAACATGTATTATGTAGAGAGCCAAACTTTGATGTCGATAATATGAAAACTACATGTTTGGATGTAATATATTATAGAAAATGCAATACAAAAAACCTAATGCTGTATATATTAATATATAAAAGACTGGCTTTGAATTTATATAGCATAAAATATGGCCATATATAACACGGAGCATATATGCTGTAAACATATTTTAAAAGTACACATGATGTTATATATTAATATACAGAGAGGTATATATAAAATTTGATTTGTTATTATTTGTACTGTTTAGTACCCAATTTCTTCTTACATGTGTATGTGGTTAGGAAATAGAGATGTAGAAGCACTCCCTTTGCCTCCACTGCTCCCTAATTCATGGAGATCAGCAAAGCAGAATAAAGGCTTTGGTTAGGACAGGGACCATATTCACTCTTGTTAGTTCTACTCCTTGGCAACTCTGAATGTCTAAGATGGCGATGATGATGATGGAATTGTGGACATTATTATTACCACTACTTGTTAGGAAATTACTGTGTCCTATGAACTGTAGTGGTAGGCAAAATTAGCTCTTTGGCTTCTCCTTACCTTTCTCTGGAACAGATATTATGAGTTTCACTGTATAGTTAGTTCACAGCACCACTTTGAAACCTTTCTTAAGGTTTCTTGGGTTGCAGCTCAGTGGTTCAGCACTTGCCTAGCATGCCTAAAGTCCTGGGTTTGATCCTCAGACCTAAAGGATACCATTTTGGGATTTGAAAATAGGTTGATTTTATTTAAGATAAATTTTGTTTTCAGCAATAGAATTATGTTCACTTTTATTTATGTACACTTTGCAGTCAGTGTGACTCGGGATTCAGATGTAGCTCATCCTGCCCTAATTCTGGCTGAGGACCAGAAACAAGTGCCTCGTGGATGCAGCCAGCAGAGTCTTGAAGTTTCTTCCAGATTTACCGCTTTCCCCTTTATCCTGAGCTGTGAGGGTTTTACCTCAGGAAGACACTACTTCGAAGTGGATGTTGGAGAAGGAGCAGCTTGGGATGTGGGAGTTTGTATGGAAAATGTGCAGAGAGACCTTGGAATGAAGCAGGAGCCTGAGCTCGGATTCTGGATCATCAGGCTGTGCCCGGAAAATGGCTATGTAGCACTGACCTCTCCCGCGACTACGCTTGAGCTGCAGGAGCGACCCCTGCTGGTGGGCGTTGTTCTGGACTATGAGGCGGGAGCTGTGTCCTTTTACAACATGACCACTGGCTCCCACATCTTCACCTTCCCCAAGGCTTCCTTCTCTGATACCCTGCGGCCCTTTTTCCAGGTTTATCAGCATTCCACTTTGTTCCTGCCTCCATCTGTTGAGTAGGGAAAGGAGCAAAGTTTCCTTAGCTTGAAAATATGGGAATTTGGTAAGAACAGTTTTCTTCTCTACTATTCTTCCACTCTATTAGAATAATGCTGGGGTTTTAGTCTATGAAAATACCCCAGATGGTCAGCCTGAGCAAGGGGAAAACAAGATATTGTGATGACCAGACATTCTCCTTTGTACCTCTCTTCATGGGTGCAGGTTTTCTTTTCCAGTAGTGACTAATTGATGAGTAGGGTGACCCTGAGACCAAGAGGTCACAATTCTCCCACTTTGTTTGAGCCATTTGGACTCATGTGTGGGGGTGTGTGTGAAAGAAAGTTTCAGCTGTCTGCCAACTCTATAAAGAACAAGAAAATTAAAAATGTATTATCTGACCCAACCAACGACACATTGATTTCTAATGGGAACTGAAGTCGTAGAGTCTGCCAGACCCTGGTGAGCTTCCCTGGGAAATCACCAAGTGAGGTATGAGAAAAGCTAAGTGTGAGAGTGGCTTAGTGTGAGAGGCTCCAAATGGAGACAGGAGTAGGAGTAAAAAGTGATTTTCAATAGAGGACTCAGTTCTGGTAAACAGAAAGTAGCTGGTATGCTGCAGGCTGTGCACAAGGCAGCTACCGTGAAATATTTTAGCATCTCAGTAACTAGTTACTTCTGGAATGACTGTTGGTAGTCTTTGTTATGACTATGATATGACCAAATAGATCTTAATTCTACACATGAGTTTATTTTGGGAAGTACATTCCAACTGGTTTCACATTGTCTTAACTGAATATTAAATATTGATATATTTTCTATTTCTTGTTCTTGTGAAAAGAAACAGGGCTTATGTACAGTTCCAATTGATGCGTGGTTAAGTCACCTTCACAACTTGCCTATGGCCACCCGGAACAGTGGTGTCAGTGGACTGAGTGAACCTCCACATTACTTACAAGTTGTGGTCCAATCAGTCTAGTGTTGTTTGCTTGCAAAAGTTTCAGCCTGGCTATGATAACCACGTGTTCCTGGGTGCTAACCACCAGTTATCTGGTGCTATCCTTACTTTTTACAGCTCCATGATGTAAGGTTTTATATAAATGTGTGTATTTGCACACATAACCTGCCCAACATGGTCTGCACTGCTTCTCACTTCTGGACTCAGGAGGTTTTTAAGACCCCTCTGCACGGTTTGCTGTGTCTCCCTTAACTCTAATGGCCTTGAGTGCTTCTCTGGGGAATGACCACCTCTCCTTAATGGTGATTTTCTCCCTGTCCACGAGGAATCTCAAGTTCTTCAGCAGTAACTAAGTGCCAGCATGTATTCTTTACCAGGCATGAGAAGTTTAGGTCCCAGTTTTGATGTCCTTAATCCTCCAGGGTGTTGTCTGGCACTTTAATTAGTGACAGTCAAATAGGAGTAAGTGATAAGTGACTTTTGCTTTATTTCTCCATTTTTCTCTGTTACTATGAGCTGTAAATCTCATTAAATAATTGCTAGCATTTGGGTTTCCATGTCTATATTCTGCTGCAATATACACATTATCAAATTTTGTTTGTTATATTTTCTTACTACATTTAAAATGGTATAATACTTTGGATATTAATCATTCACTGTGTCTCAATATTTTATATATCTTCACAGGAATATGCTAGTGTTGTACATCATTAACTGAAAAGAAAACTTTTCATCTAATAAAATTATTAATTTTTCCCTATGACTGGTGGTTATGGGATTTATTTCAAGAAATACTTCCCTACTCCTAGTTTGCAGGATGGCCTTTTTTCATATTTACAAACTTAAGAATCTATCTTACATTTTAGGCACCTACTGCACTAGGATCCAACCTCTGTACAGCACAGTAGGTGAGGTCCGGTGTAGTGCCTGTCATCCAGGTAGGGAGCTTTCCTGGCCATCTGCTCTCTGTCCCTTCACTGCTGTGTGCTGCCTCTTTGTCACATGTTCAGTCCCCAGAGCCACTGGCGTCCATTCCTGAGCTCTCAGTTATTGTCTTCGCTCTTTTTCTTCTTTCTGTTACTGTGACATTGTCATCTAGGAGGACTGATCTCCTCACGCTGCATATTAGATGGTTTTAGTATCTGTGGGCCATTTTTATTTTGTGTAAATTTTACTCCAGAATCAATTACATTTTAATGTTGTTCTTGATGGAAACAAACACAGATTTCTACCTCTTAAAAATTTCAGCCCTACCATTTATGTACTCTTCTGTTGGTCATTTTGGCCAAAGAACTATCTTGCTCATTTTGAGAGAACAGATTTTTTTTTTTTACTTTACTTATCCCTTTCAGTTGTTGTCTTACTTCTTTCTTTCTCTTTTTCACATTTTTTCATGCTTTTAAATTGAATAGCTCACTTAATTTAACTTTTCATATTATGTTCTTATAAATTAGATTTCTTCCAGATATGATTTCTAACTTGCTAATGTGAATATAACAAGTTACAATAACATTAAATGTTCCTTACTTTTTACAGCTCCATGATGTAAGGTTTTATGTAAATGTGTGCATTTGTACACAAATGCTTTACAAATACTTTTGTACACAAGTACAGTACTGTACACAATACAATACACAAGTATAATACTGTACACAATACAATACATAAGTACAAATACTTTTGTACACAAGTGCTTTACAAATACTTTTGTTTTTGAGGCAGGGTTTCACTATGTAATTTAGGCTGGCCTTTAACTCATGACGATCCTCTTGCTTCAGCCTCCTGAGTGCTCAGATTGTAGGCATGCACCACTATATGCGGCTTCAAATACTTATTTTGGAGCATTAATTTTTTTTATCAGTATAGAGGAGATAAAACTTTACTCTTTTAGGACCTCTGTCTGGGACAGAGAACTGATTTAGCACAAATCAGATTAATAAGAGAAAATTTTAGGGGATTTCACCTTTGAGGGTTCAGTAACTGTTATGGTGAAACAAATGGACAGCAGACAAATTAATAGGAGAAAAAGGGCTCCAAATTGATTAGATATGGGCAGGTACCACATGATACAAAGACGAATATCCAGAAACCCGGTGACTTCCAAGCTTCTATAACCTCTTCACAGAAAAAAAAAAAAAGAAGAAGAGAGCGATAACTTAGCAGATAATAAAAGAACAGATGAGCATTTGTGACAAAGTCAGCCAGGTGTAGTTTACCTTACTTTGTTAACGAGGCTCCTGAAAGAGAGATCCATGAAAGCTGAGTTAAGAGTTGGGGTCAAGGAGGAACCCAGATCTTCTCTTCCTATGTCTGAGGCTGCCCAGGGACCTCAAGATGAAGTAGTCAGCATTCCCACTTGGCATATTTTGAAGCAGCATTTCTTGAACTCCTTCAAAAGCACACAGATCCATATAATGTGCTGTGTGACACAGGAACTCTCATAAGGAAACTTGACCCCAAAGCAGTACAAAACTGGAATGTTACTATACTGGGTAGAAAGAACAGGGGTCCTGTGGAAAAGGACCTAAAATATATGGAGAGGCTGAAGAATGGTAAGAATTAGTTCAACAAAATATGTTTGCAACAAGTTTTTCCTGACTCAACTTCCTGTCTTTTAATAATTTTTAATAATTATAAAACTAATAATTTTAAAATTATTAAATTATTTAAAGAATTTTAATAATTTTAGGAGAGGGCAGCTCTCACATGGGAATTTCTTCTATTTTTAAGACAAAAATGATTCATGGAGTCCTTTTTGCATCTACTGTTTTTAAAAGCCCCTAACTCAAAATACCCAGTAGGCTAGTGCTCTATTTTGGGATGCCCTGCTCTGAACTTCTTGATTAGTTTCCTAGGTAGCTAATCATCTCTTATTTTCCCATAATACATGGTCCCCATTAACTCTTAGAACAGATGTTGGCCATTCCTCAAGAACACACCTATTTCAGAGTAGCGCTGTGGGGTAGAGCCCCAACGGTCTACCTGGAGAGATAGAGAGAATGCAGCTTATAAGAATGAGACAACATAGAGCACATGCAAAACAATAAATATTTGTGTTCATAGTGATCATTAGAAATGATCAGTCATCCAAGACTTCACAGTGGACTCAGTGCCTGGAGCTCTGAGGGCAGTGTGCAAGGATGAGAGTAACTTGTTGGCCTAGGACGGAGAGTGCTTTGTGGAGAAGTATGTGGCATTGAACCCAGGCATGTTGTACCACTGGACTATACTCTAGCCAGTGTTTTACTTTGTATTTTGAGACAATTCTCACAGATTTGCAGAGGATGGGCTCCAATTTGCAATCCTTCTGCCTCAGCTTTCTGAGTAGATAGGAGTACAGGTCTGCACCACCCCATAAGGCAGTGTTTAACAGTTTTTCATAGGCAAACTGATCACCAGTACATCAGGGTCCTGGAAATGTTTCTGAAAACTTTTCTTTTGCTTTATTTGTTTGTCTTTCTTATTGAGTTGTAAGATTCTTTATATTTTCTCATGTCAGATATATATTATATATGTTTTCTCTATCTGATTACTCTTTTCATTTTTTAAACTGTACTATTTTTTGAAGAATTGTGAATTTTACTTTTGATAAAGTATAGTTTGTTATTTTGTATTTTGTGTTTCATATTGTTGAATCTTTTTCAGTGACCTAACCCAACGATCTAAACTAAGGCATCTATATGTAAGACAGGTATTCTACCATTGAATTTTACATTTGGTCTTTTTCACAAAACCTTTGCTTATCCCAAGTTATGGAAGATATTTTCTTACATTTTCCATTATAAATTTTATAATTGTAACTTTACATTTAAATCTGATTTATTTGAATTAATTTTTGTGTAAGGCTTAAGGCAAGAGTTTGTAGGGGACCTCCTTGGTCCTCGTTGCACCCTGGAGAGGAACAGCAGTATGTATGAAGAAAATAAAGACAAGAGACAAGACCTGGGTCAGGTGGAGGTGACCCCTTACCTAATCAGCAAGAGACCTGACTTCAACAGTAGGAGCGTTTATTTTCTACTCTTGCAAAGTTAGTATCTCAAGAGGTAATGTTTCCTAGTGACTAATGACTAATTGTTCAGGCAGTTTGTCTTTCTCAAGACTGAGGTATCTTGACTGCCTGAGGCACTCTGCTCTGCCCTGCCCTCACACATATGACCAATTTCCTGTTCTAGCTGCTCTCAACAAGAGTTGAAGTCTTTTTCTCTTGAGGATATATATTTCTTGGAGAAATATTTGTTTTGTAAACTTTTCTTTACTATTGAACAGTGCTTTTACTTTTGTCAAAATCAATTGTTCTAGATGTGTGGGTCTGTTTCTGAATGTTGACTCCGTTCCATTGATCTTAGTGGTTATCCTTGTATTAATATATTCTGCTATACTGTACTGATAACTGTAGCATTTTAGTGAAGACTTAAAAACAGATAATGTAAGTCCTTGCATTTTATTTTTTGTTGAAATATTTGTTTGGCTATCCTTGGGTCATGGCATTTCAATATAAATTTAAAATCAAGTAGCCAATTTATCTTCTTCCTCCTCTTCCTCCTCCTCTTCTTCTTCTGCTTCTGTTTCTGCCTCTGCTTCTTCCTTCTGCTTCTAAAAAAGCCAGTTAAAAATATGTCAATTTGGAGTGACTGACAACTTGAAAACCCATGACTTGAACTCCAATCTGAATATAGTGTCTCTCTTCATTTACTGAGGTTTTATGCAATTAATTTTAGGAAAGCATAAGGAAACTCACTGGAATCATACTGTGTCTTGGTTAGGGTGGTGATGACATGATCATATACATCTGTTACAGATCATCAATCTATACTCTTAAATTTTGTCAGGTTTGTTATGCATAAGTTACACTTAATGAAGTTCATTGAAAAAGCAGAAACAAAAATAACCTGTGTTGTTGTACTTCTTTTCTTATTGACATGCTTCATAGCCATTAAAATCGCCTGACCTCAGCACCATTTCTCCAGTTGGTTCTGTGCTCAGGATGCTCCAGTGGTGCACTACTGTCCTAACATCCCAATCCAGCCAGTGCAGGGTAAATGCAGGAAAGGGACCCAGGCCTGGCCAGGCACAGTGAGACCAGCAAAGCACCTGTGTCAAGGTTTTTCTGTGCTGGTGCAGCCCCCATCCTCTTCCTCCTGGATTTAGAGTCTTGCTCAGCCTTACTCAGCAGTGTGCATGGCTATGTGACCGTGTTGTCGGTAGTAGGAGGTGGGCAGAGGTGATATACATCCCCTTCCAGACCTACCCATGAGCACCTGCCCTGCACAGTTCTCTGTATTTGTGTCTCTTCAAACTCATGGGAACAGAAATCATCATGGTTCATGCCTAGGGGCCATGTACTAAAGACGACAAACCCCAGGGTAGAAGGAGTGCCATCTCGGAATCACCCCTGAAGAACAGTCTCCACCCTGAATTTGGAGAGGACCTTTTCTAATGCCCATCTCTAAGTCTCATTTGCAATTTACTCCTTTTCTTCTCTCAGCATGCAGGGTGATGTGGAAGGGATTCTCAAATTCCACTTCTTGGTCCTGGAGAAGAAAAGAAAGGATGTTATATCTGCAAGTTCAGGGTAATGGAGCAGCCTAGAGCAGCAAGAACTTAACAGGGAGGACAGTCCTACAGAAGCTAGGAAGCTTCTAGGAAGGCAGCAGTGCCACTGGGTGTTCCTTGGGAGACCCACCATCCACCAGGGCCTAGCAGACGGATAGAAAGAAACTGATTAAAAGCTCTGCCAGTCAAGTCACATGGATGGAGTTC